GTTAAGCAAATGGTTTAAGAAAAGTATTTTACTTGTTTCTTTTAAAATAAAATAATTTTTTTTAAAGAACATTTAGAAGTTTTGGAAATTGAAAAATATACTTCAAAATTATTCAATCTAGAGATTCAAAATTAAATCTAGAGACTATAAAAATTAATTAAAAATTAAATTTAGCTGTATCCACCATTGAGTAATATTAAACTTAATATTAAGAATAAGAAAGAAATTTTGTGTTCATTAGAAATAGTATTTACAGTATAGACTCTATACTATAGAGTTTGTTATATTTAAGATTATAAACTAATTGTTTTGTCTATACTCTAAGAGAAGACCAAACAAATAAGCTAGTAGTAATGAAATAAGTATTTTAATTTCCCTCAAAAGGAATTTATATTTAAATAAATTTTTAAAGTAAATATACACGTATTTTATTTGAAGTATCATAGAAATTTAAAAATATTAGATATAATGTCCGCTTAAGAAGTATTGCCTACTAGTAGTCGGTGGTAATATGTTAGTATAACAGTGATGATATTTATAACAGTGATAAGTAGAGCCATTCCAGTTTACATTTCATATTATGCAAAAATAGTAAATAAAACGCGTAAATGTACTTTAAATGGGATACCCTACATAAGATACCATATTGGTACGTTATTGCACAAGATATCGATAAATAATTATACACTCAGAAAAATAATTTGGTTGATTTTATCAGATTTTAATTAAATATCAAGTCAAAATATTATTACTCGATACATTATGTTAACTTAACCATACCATAAAAATCATGTTGGGGGTTTTATTTTTTTTACTACATGAGCTGAAATTTTGAAGTTCATAGGTGATAAATTGTGAAATTACATTCCCCGGAAATTTATTTTTCAATAAAGCAAAAATTGGACGAGTTATGTGGTTTGTAGTGAGTTTCTTTTGAAATCTTTGCCTTCTGTATCCACGTCTTTAAAGTCTCGTCAAATAAAAATGATAATCATATGGCTGTACTTCTTTAACAGAACAAATAGCACAACATGCAGTAAGTTTTTCTAGATGAAATGGTCTTTCATCAGTGGTTATAAGTTTGCCTTTGCATCAACACGTATCGCACTTCACTGATGCTGCTATAGTTGTTTCTGTTGGGCCCTGAATTAACATTAAAGTTAATGTTAAAAAATATATAATTAAAATCACTTACTGTTAGCACACTATATGTTAATAACAGTGCAGATAACCTATGAAGTAGTTTGATATTTATGTTACAACTAAATAAATTGTGTGATTTTTATTTGAAATGAAACAATTATTTAAAGAAATATAAATTAAAAAAACGACCTAAAGCCAGACAAAATAAACAAACATATTAAGATCGATATCAATATTTACAAAAATAATATTAAAACCAAAATTTAAATAATGTTAAGTTAAATAAAAATTGGTAATTAAAGTGCAATGAAATTATTTTATTATTTTATATGTATATTTATACTATATTAAATATATGTATTTAAAAAAAAAATTTAAGATATTAAAATAATTTAATAATTTTAATAATTTTTAAGATTTTTGTCATATTTTGGTTTGTTGTTTGGTTTTAAGTAATAGTCATAAGTATTTATATTCAATAAGCGGTTAAGTAACTGATAAATTGTTTAAAAATGCTTTTCTTGTTTTATTTAAAAAATGTTACAAAACAATAAGCTATGATAATTCAGCACGGTATGTAACTTAAGTAACAATTTATTCTTTATTGGGACGAATTTTCATATTTTTACATTTATTCTTACTAAAGATGCTTATCAAACTATAGCTAAAAAAATTCATGAAGAACGAACAACATATGCAAACCTTATGAACGCTCCAAAAATGCGCAAACTTGTGATTTAAGGATCATAAAAATATTTTATGAGATTTTTTCCATAATAAATGCAAACAAACAAAGTATGCGGATGGTGGCATAATAGCTTTATTCATTTGAGGATAAATATTTCATTACATACAAGCTGTGGGAAAGTTATAAATTTTGCACTTTTGAGAATCCACATAATACGCTTAAAATGAATAAAATGTACTCGGGGAAAATGTTTCAGTATAAGGAGACAACACATGTAGTTTTAAGTGAAAAACTTTATGATGTAAATATTTTAAGTTTATTTAATAAATTTGACTTTAATAAACTTTATATCAGGAAGTATGTAATATTATTAAATGATATCAGAATTTGTCTCTTGAGATGAATATTTCATTATTTGAATAAATAATATAAATAGATAAAAAATAAATAAGACACATAATTACCGGAAACTTATAAAATTATGATATTTTCATTGATTACTTTCTGTTCACATCATCGTTTTTGTGATTTCATTGTTTTCCTTAGGTTTCGAAGAGCCAATTCCACAATGCGCACTTAAGTGTTGATTTAACACAAAACTTACATTTTTTTACTTTAAGTTTGACTTTACTGCCCAATATCGAACAATTAAGAGTTTACTTTATCTATATATGCATAGAAGACAAACGATTAAACTATTTACTACTTACCTACTTACCTTTTTACTGGCGAGACTTTTGGATTTATTAGCTTCCAATTACAAGGTTTTTATATTTTGTTAAAAAGAGATTAATATCTTATGAATGTTGATATTGCTTATATGCTTAAATCACTAAATTATAAAAATAAATTTAATGACGTGGGTTTTACTTGATCTCTTTGGTTTTATTCGATTCGTGTCCGACTATTCCTTAATTAAAAGATAGTAAGTAGTATAGTGTTAGTATAGTATTTAAGAGCACTGTTATATTTTAACAGTATTGAAGTACAAAAAGAAACGATAATCGCAATAAGTTAGAAGATTCTTATATTCATAATATCAGAGATAACTGAATCATATGACATAGTAGATGTCTAAATTAAGTATGTATAAAGTATTATAAGGAGGTATTGATTAAAATTTTTAAAAATTGTTTTATGTTAAGTGCAAACTTGATTGCTTATTGTTTGATTTCAATAATAGAAACCAAGACTACATAAGATATTTACTTTGTATTAAAGTAGTACAAAAAAAAATTGAAGCTCTATAGAAACATCCTCTTTCAAAGCCTTGTTAAAGATTGAACGGTTTCAGTTATAATTAAAATACAAAGATGCATACATCTTTTTATCTCTGATGGTACTGTGTTTGATTAATCTGAACTTGATTAAGTTACTTAATTTCAATAACAGACTCGTATGATTCGTGTATCATTAAATTATTGGATATTCATTTACATATTCCATATGTTTTTCAATAAATTTGTGTTATAAAAATATTATCTGAACTTCATATTTAGCACTATATTAAACTTAATCAGGAAACGTTTATAAAGTACAAAAACTTTATCAAAATACTATTCCTATGTATAAACTTATTAAAAATTTTTATATTTTGTTAGTATAATATAAGATTATATTATAATTTTGATAGTATACTAAGCTCGTTTCCTTTCCAATAGTTAGCATATCGTGTGGTAGTTAATTTTGTTTGGCATATTTCCAATTTCTTATATTTATTGTATTCTTATATTTAATGGTTTTTTTTTTATATTTACTATAAAAAAACAGTTTTATGGTATAATTGACTCATACACCTTTTTAATAGTTTTTTTATATTTGCCATCAACTATCTTTTATTTATGTAAAATTAATTCTGTCAGTAGACTACCTATAATTAAAATTATCATTCTTAAATATTTACATATCAAATGTTTAATGAACATTTAACAAAATCTTTGTATTAATTAGTAAGTTCATAAAATAATATTGTCAGTAACTACCATATATGATAAAATTTTGCATAATAATCTTGTAAAATTGTATGTAAACTTGCAAATCTGTTCTTCTTAATCACAGTTGGTCAATAATCACAATGTAATCCAAACCTATTCGAGATTGAGAATTCTAATATTTAAATTGAAAATATTGTCAAAAACAAACATTCTGAAAGGATATGATATCACATTTAACCCAAATTATTACGCAATTTGTTCTTTTAACCACATAGAATATTTAGAAAGTTTGTGTGTGAATTTCAATAACTGAACGAACTTAACCCTGTAAGAATATTATTACTTAATTTCAATTTTGCTTAAAAGTTTGTTATTTAATATTCAGTGATTACGAAGCTTAGTGTACTCTCATAAATAGCACACATAATAAATTTTATATTAAATGAGATTAACAAGACTGCATTGGCAGGACTTAAAGTCTTAAGTTTGAATATAAGCCAAGTAATCTCTTTATAATATAAAAATTTCCTGTTGTTACTAAAGGAGAGCAGTTTTTATGGTTCTAAATAATGTTTAAGTTTTACATAAGTTTAATTTTATATACACACTACATATAGTATTCACCGCAAATTTAACAAATATTTGTAGATTAATTATGCAAATAAATTGAGAGTTAATTTGTAGAACTAAAAGTGTTTATACGAACTTTATTTCACAGACTTGTGTCATAAATAAGATTAATATTTAATTAATTGGAGTATAAATTAATAAAGTTTGTTCTATTTTTAATTTGTAACTACAAATTTAGATAATAACGAGTGCATATTTAACTAATTTCTTCATACAAAACCTTATTAATATTTTTTAAATCAATTCAATGAAATCTCACTAAGTGAAAGAATTTTATCATATATATGTATGAAGTTAATTTTTTGTATATTAATTATTCAAAAATTTAATTGGGTAAAGACACGTTTGTTTTGAATTTTTGAATTAAATGCATTAATAACACAAAAAATAAATATTTTATGTTTTAAATTGCGAAAATATTATCACATTATAAAAATTATACTTTACAAAACGTACAAGTTAATTAAAATGCCGTGCAACCAATACAGAAAAATCGACTCAGCTGAGTAAATATTACACAATTTGTGTATTTTTTAATTAGCGATTTTTTTTTAAGTTACTTTCTTAAACATTTTTCAAATTTTTTCTTCTTAATTTCCAAATTTTTAAACTCCAGTTTTACAATTTCGATCTATATTTTCACCACCTTCTTCACCTTCAATATTAAGTACATAATATAAAAATATTTATATTATTTAATGATGATGGCAGTTTAAGTCACTAAGAATTTAAAATATTTAAATAACTTTTTGAATTAATATTAATAATACTTAGTTTGAGAATTAAATTAATTTATGCTGTAATAGACATAGCATATATCTTCTTACTATTGCAATCCAGTACACATCTAAAGAGTCAAAAGTAGTGATGAAGAGTTCAACTTCTAAATTAAAATGTCTCAACATAAAAACTTTTGCAATTTAGTAGTTTAAACTTTAACTAACAATTGCACTTAGTCTAAGAATTTCTTTAAAGTAACGACCCCAGTAAAGTTTTGCGGCAGAACTAAAACTGTTTGTTTCTGGTAAAAGTTTGTTCTCGTTATATTCAGAATTCATTAAGGAGTGGTTTAGAGGAATTAACTCTATGCATACGTACAAAAATGCATACATAGTTGAGTAAATGTGAGTATTTTTTTTTAACTACAAAATTTTACAGAAAATTTACTTCAAAGAAACTATTAGACTAATTAAAACACTGGAAAGACATTATTAGATTAACTAAACTACTAAAAAACAATAACTTTCTTTATTAATTTTTTTAGATTTTTAGTGTAAGTAATGTTGATAATATAATAATAATAATAAAGTCTCCAAAGCCAATTAAAAAACTTTTGTTTTAAATAAAATACTTTTTTTAAGAGAAATATAAATATAAATTTACAACTTTGTACTATAATTGTACACTATAACTGTACACTTTAACGATACAATATAACTGTACGCTACAACTGGACATTATTACTGTACGTTATAACTGTATCCTACGACTGTACACATCAAAGGCACATTACAACTGCTCAATACAATTGTACCACGCAACTGTTTAAAACGACAGTACAATACAACTGTACAATGCTACTGTATACAATAATTGTACACTACAACTGTACATTATAATTATACTTTACAACTGTATACTACAACTGTTTACAACAACTGTACATTACAGCTGTACATTATAACTATACACTACAACTATATACTACAACTGTACATTTTAATTGTACACTATAACTGTTCTTTACAGCTGTACACTACAACTTAACAACACAACTGTACACTATAACTGCACCTTATAAATGTACATTGTAACTGTACACTACAATTGTACACTATAACTATGCACTTTAACTATACACCGCAACTGTACACTACAAATATACCCTATAATTTTATACTAAAAATATACATTACAACTGTACACTACAACTGCACCTTATAAATGTACACTGTAACTGTACACTACAACTGCACAATGCTACTGTATACAATAATTGTACGCTACAACTATACACTACAACTATACACTACAACTGTACACTACAACTGCATAGTACATCTATACACTACAACTGTACACTACAACTGTACACTACAACTGTACACTATAACTATACACTACAATTGTACACTACAACTTTACAATACAACTGTACATTATTATTGAGTGCTTGTGATATATATTCCTTTTGTACACTCCAGCAAATATACACGATCACTCGATCGTAGAGTACATTTGGTTTTTACTTTCAGAAGTAGCGAACGACGAAAAACGATTGCCAAACGTTTTCTATTTTATGTAGAAATGTAAAGCGTTACTATTAAAGAGAAGTTTTAAAACATATATCTATAATTTTATATCATAATATGGATTATTTTTATTTAATTAAAGTTTAATTTCTATGAAAGAATTTAATAGAAATAATTTTGTTACATAAATTGAAATGATTGTAAAAAATACTAATTTAAGCATTTTTAAATAATTAGAACTCATAAAAAATGAGAGAGCATTAAACACATATCTGCGGTTGAAATTTTGGTTCCGCGTTCTGCATTTCATTAAAAAAATTAATACAAACCTCAATTGCATTCTATTCTAAATTAAAAATAGCTTACATAGTTAATTTACTAAAATTATTGCAAATTGTATATAAATCATATATATACATATACGACTAATAAAAATGGGAGTGTTGGGAAAAATTTCAAATAAATTTTTATGTCATAAATTTGTATTCACTGCAAGTAGAAT